GGTGCATGTACTAGTGTATGTGAAGGATTTAGGGTTTATGCTTTCATTACATGGACGGCCCTATTCTGTGAAGTCCATGGATATTCCAGTATAACTATTGTCTCGAAACAGCTGATGTGTATGAATTCTCGATGAAGCGCGGTCAGGAAATCTGCATAGTACTCTTCTATGAGGGTATTAGTACTCGAGCTATTTGGATCACCTGCAGTGCTATTATATTAGCAGAAGCATGATTTGTGGAGTGTTCCTCCTTTATGAGTAAGAGTATCCTTGGAGTACGATTTTTTGGGAGAGTACGATAATACAAGAAGTACCGTCATCTTTAAAGTACTGTTCTGTGGATAATACTTCCATTTGAACAGGATATTCGGTGAAGGAGTATTCATGACTTGGAGTACTGTTCTGGGGATACTACGGATGTATGTATAGTACTCATATCTAAAGATGCCTGATATGGCTGGTACGAGGACATTTGATGAGTGGCAAAGTTAATCCCGTATTATTAAGTAAAGTAAAGAAGGGTGTAGAATTCATGACTTAGCTTTCTGCAGTATGAGGAGGTTCCACCGTTACGCAACCTGTGGAAGTTGCCATATTACCTCCGTATGGGGGGTACACTTCTGTGGGACACCTGAATGTGTGAATTGCACGATTACTTGAAGAACAGTGGTGTTATGTACAGAATAGTTTGTCCTGATGAGTACAACTGTCCTTGGAATAGCATTATTTGAAGACTCGTCATGTTGGTTTCATGGCACTATGATATCAATTGCGGGGTTCCCCAAATCCCAAAGGTAGCCTCAGATCATATTATCTACACAATGCAGCTATGCCAAAACCACTGTAATGTTAACAGTATTATTGCGTGAAGAATACTGATTTTCGAGGAGTGTCATTATTCATAGGGTAATATTCTATGAAGTACCTAGATATACCACGTAGGCATATGCCAAGGAAGTATTGATGTGTCCCCATTTCACAGGTTGACGAATGCGGAGATTCTCGTAGTACTTTTATATGTGGGTATTAAGGGTTGGACTATGCTGATATCTGCAGAGTATCATTCTTTTAAGAGCATAGTTCTATAAGAACTACAGATGATCAGCAGAACTGTCTTGTGAGTGTACTCATATCTCCTTAGTGTGATGTCTTGGAGTGCACAATAGTGGTGGGACTTTGGATATCGAAAGACCAGATTTATTGAAAACCTTGGAACTTCATGGGCTACTGTTTAGGCTTCTATTATAGGAAAAGCACCCTATTCCGGAATCCATCCCACTCCCTGGAGTGTTATTATATTAACGGAGGTATAATGTGTAAACCCCTATTATTAGGAGGGTACCTTTGGAGGAAGTGTACAGAGGCTTGTGAAGTAGTATTGTGTAAAAATTACTTATTGCCTCCCAGTTCTGATATTCCCAGAGTACTATTATAGGAATAGTGCGGATGTTTGCGGAGTATCAATATATTAAGCATAACATTGTAAAATGAATACTACTCTACAAGGACTACTATGATTTAAAGTGTATGAACCTGCATGCCGTATCATTATCTTTATCCGTCGTCCATCCCTACGATGATATTGTATGAATAAAACACCTGTATCAAGTAGGGAAATATACATAGTGTACCATTAATATATAAGGCATAGTATGATATGAACTGTATATATGTGTCTAAAATGTAAATACGAATAAAGAACACAGAGATATCAGGAATATTATTGTATAGGTTTACCGGTTATGCTGTTATTGTAGGGAAGGGAAAATATTTTACAACTAAGACAGAGCTTGTATCGCAGTCATTTGAAAGAAATTATTGTCCCTGCACTCATGTGATATGTAGACAGAAGGGGAAATGAGAAATGGTATTCTGTGCAGTGCAGTGATATTCAAAATACAGTATTGTATGAGGGATACAGATATTCTCAAGAACCATCCTTTGGAAGATAAGGATTTTCCTACAATATGCCCATCGAAAATGCAAAAGTGTGTGAATTGCGGGCTATGTGTTCCAACTTTTGGTTCCTATTATTTGGACAACACCAGTCATTGATTAGTATAGATCTCTATGAAATAGTATTATGTGAAGAATTAAGGACTAGATTCTAAAGGAAACAGCAAGCCATTAATTACGCGCAGGTGCAAGCGGTATAGCTTTGTCGAATGTATTATTGCCGGAGTAATACAATAGAGTCAGAAATACTTGCATATGGGCAATGCAAGGATTCTAGCGGAAAGGTTGTTTGTAATGTACAGTGTCGCAGGAATGCTTTTATGTGAAGGCCTCATAACATAGCGTTTTAGATACGACTAATTGGAGAACATGATTAATTGAAGAATAATGATTTAGGTGTAGTATTATTTAAGAAATATCGCTCCCCCCAAGACTACGGGCCTGTGGAATGTACGCTTAGCATACAGCCCTATTATATGAACCATGCGTCTAAACCTCCAGTATTATCTTGTGTACTGTATACATGTTTCCTGAATATTATTCTGCACCAGGTTTATATTTTACGGTTTTTTCTATTTGGAGACTATTATTGGCTGAAGATAACACATCTCGATGGGCAACCATGATATCAGGAAAATAATCGTGCGGGTTCTATGACTATGACTGGAATAAGTTTATATGGAAAAGTTAGGCCAACGGATGCTATTATTTGAAGAATAGAATGAGTCGAAGGATATACACTTCCTTGGAAGACTAATATATAAGGAGTAAATTTTTCGCGGCCATTATTAATTATGTGAGAAGGAAACCTTTCTCTAGAGTATCACTGCATAAACAGTAGGAAAATTCACAGACTCCCTATTGTGGAGTCGTCAAGATTTAAAGCAGGGCGCACCATAATTTAAAAAGAGATATTTAGTAAGAGATAATAGAGTGGATTCAGCGGTATTCTTGGAGGGGTTCGAATCAATAAGCCTTACACATATATAGAAAATACGAGATGCCTGCGGTATATTTGTATTAACTGTAAGAATTAGCCTTACAGCAGCTCTTTAGAGGATAAGCTTCTGTCAAGGGTAATATTCTATGTAAAAAAGTGCTGTGTGAGGAGGAAGATTATTTAAGATAATACAGAGGTTTAGAGAGTCAAATTCCTTGAGGAGGACGGGAGTTGTAAAGATCATACCATTTCACCAATACACTGCCTTGTAAAATAATTCCATTCCAGGAAAACTCATATACAAAACCTAAGGCTACTCATGCTGTATAAGAAACTGAGGGATACTATCACTAAAAAGGGTTTCAACATACCAAGGGTGTTTATATATAGGAAGAACTTTTTATAGGCCAAGTAACATTGTAAATACAGTAATACGTCGTGGACTGTGATTATTTCTTCTCAATATTATTGTAATATAGATTCAATAATTATCCGGGTACTATTAAGAAACAATGATTACGGAAGATTTGCACACCTGCCTTAATCTGTAATATTTTCCTCTTAAGGGAACTCCAAATCGGTGCCATACCATTAAAATATAACAATTATGTAAAATGAAAGATTAAACTTCTTATACCCTAGGGCGAAATTGGAAATTATAAGAGGAATAGTACTATATAGAACAAGCTATTTCTCATGAAGAGTTAGGAATAATAATAAAATGGGAACAGCCAAAAGGATAGAATAACAACACGAATAGGAATACACAAAAAATAATAAGGAATCATTAACCTGAGAGGGGAGAAACGGTCCTATAGGAGCGGATGACTATAATAGAATGTATCTACCAATCCAACTGACATATTTGAGAAAATTATCTAATGCGAAGAACGAACAGAGATCTTTATAGGACCCTCTGAATAAACCACGTGCCAGTGGAAATATAAACATGACGGTCCAGGTGGAAATGCCTAAAAAGCAAGGTAACTAATTACTATATTCGGACCAAACAAGACAGAAGGACAAAATAAAGGCAAAACTGCTCAGGGGATGAGGACTAGGCACTGACCCCAAGAGACTAAAACTCAAAAACACAATGGGGGTAACACCTAAGGAGTAATGTCTGCAGCCCCCCTTTCCCTCTTACAGAATGGACATATGAAATCGACGGTTTCATGTTTTCTGAAATATAACCAAACGAATAAGAACAGATAATATTTTGAATTTGTGCCAAGACCATGGAGTATAATAAGTCATACCTTGAATTCTTCTTTATCTGTATCTAAATCTATAGAAAATCCTCCAACCAGCGTCTCCTTATTAATCCCAGGAGGGTGTAGAATATTAACTGGTATTCATAACCGCTTATATGCATAAGGAAGTATAAGCATATACAATGCGAATATTCCCATATTGGAATGAGCACCTATCCTATAAAAACGTCCTCCCCCACCATAAATTTATGAAATTCTTATGAAAAATGAAAGAAAGTGACTAAATACATGATAATTCTGGCGGTGATATGGTTTTTAATTGACTTTTAAGTGTAAATCTATATAGACCTCTGAAAGATAATAGGAGAATTCCTTCCCATAATAATAAGTCAAGTAGTTTTATAAACGTATTGTGTGCTAGTCGATGTGATTAATTAAGAGAACATCACACACAAGTTCGTGAAATGTTGTAGACCTCATTAACCACCCTAGAAGCTTAACTATATTTCTCAACCTAATCAGACTCCGCGTATACCATCCTCCAGGAAGGAGAATTCCTGTTCAAATGAATGGATGAGGGATATTCCAGGCTGAACACATTTTCTTTGCTCAAACCCAAAATAAGAGGGATGATATAAACCGGAATATAATAATCTCCTAAGGAATAAATAGACAAGGAACAACAAAAATCCCCCACCGAAGTAATATAATGGTTAAAAGATTTATTGATAACCCCTAGGGTATATAAGAGGCAGAACCGACCAGAAACAGGAAAAAAACACCCACCATGGAAAGGCCAAATCAGAGATATAGACTTTGTGCTTTAATAGGTACAATCTGTCTCTCCCCTACCACGGACAGGAGAAATTAGTATCAGAAAAGGAACAAAAATGAAGTCGAGACAGGACGAATCCCCACCAGATTTCAAGATACTACCAGGGCAAACGGCTCTAGAAGATGAGACGAATTTAATCCCCCTATATACAGAAAGAGCAATCTATACCCCAAAGTATAATAAAGGCATTAACAGGCTAAAAAACCCTAAGGAGTAAATGACCAAACCCAGAATCAAAACCCCCCAATGAATAAAAATCTGGAATCAGCAGCCGAGGACTAAAACAACAGAACGCCACGCCAAGTCCAGAAAAGGGGACACAGCACGGGTGTTGAAAAGTACGAAGGAGGTTCAGGCGAGCCATATGCCCTACTAACCCAAACAAGTCAAAAAGAAAGTATCCCCCGAATACTGAACGAAACCCCCTCAGAAACCTCAGAACTCCCTCCGAAAGGATTAGGTACAAAATCAACTAAAAAACTCATTAACTGGAGAGATAAGAAAAAGAAAAGACAGGAAAAAGTAACAGGCAACCTACAGGGAAGCCAGGAGACAATCCAGATATCACAGAGTAAATAGCAGAAGAAACAGTATCACGAAAGACACGACCCATCTGAGAAGAGAAGTAGAGAAAAGCCATCCCCGCCCCCCCAACGGGTATAGACAGCCTAGAAAACCAGTATATGACCGGAGCCTTCCTAAGCAGCACGAGTAGGGAATATCTGGACTAACTCTAAAACTTCCCATGAGTCAGGCGCAGGGTCTAATCCTATGAGAGGAGATATTTAGAAAATGACACTATAAAGTACAGAGAAAGAAGAATTATAAAATGAAATAAAAATCTAAATCAATAAGCGAAACCTAAAAGATAGATAAATAAGCATGACCAAGACACGAACACACCCAGCTCACACAAATCACAGTACGGCAAGCACGAAGAGAGCGAAACGGCAGCGGACAAATCCACGAAGCCTCAAAACCTAAACCCGCAGGGGGAAGAGAAAAAAACCACCCTTGGACCCCCCCCAACCAGAAAAGATAGATAGAAACTCCCAGCAAACAACCACCTACTACAACAGGAAGAATAGAGAGCATAATCCCCCCCGAACCTAACCATACTGAACAAGCATGAGAGAAGAACTAACTCGGCCCTCCAGACGGATAAACACAAACAGCTCTCCAACAGACGAAATAGATGAAGGCAAAGGAAAGGAGACACTGATTGAACAGACCTAAAAAAAAACACGACTAACTTCTCTAAATCCCCCCACAGCAGAAACACACGCCTAGATCCCAAAAAAATGACAAAAAGCAAAAGTTATGAAAACCCCTAATGACACAGACACCCCAGGCAACGTGGTAACACACAAAAAACACCTCCAAAAGTACGATATCCCCCAAGAGCTATAACTAAGCAAAAAGGTACCCACCACCCTCCCTGCAAAAAATTCCAGGAAAAACATAAAAGAAACCGTAGAAAACAAAAGGGACAACTCAACCCTCCTAACATCTCAGATGGAACCGGGCAAGTATGAGACAAGACGAAAATAAAAAAGGAAGGCAACATCTAGTCACTCCCAGGAGAAAAAACAAACTCTGAGCCCCAGGCCAAAGCCAGATGTATGCCAAAATGAATATCCCAAACATCAAATAAAAGGACACCACTCTCTAAGGAAAACCTTCCGGCCCATATAAGGGGTCTAATGACTCAGCATAAGTAATATATACACGGTTGTGCAACTCGAAAAAATGAGGAAGAAACTACTTCCAGGCCCAATACCAAGGATAATATAAACGTATGCACGATTCACAA